GGCTTCGAGTTGAGACTAAATTGTAAACAAAATTGATTGGTTTATCCCAAGTATGTCTTCAGTGGAAAGAAGAATTAAGTCTAGGTTACGTTTTTCTGACAACTACAGTTCTTAGTCTGACTTCTTTAGCTGACTAGCCATTAAAGGAGGGAAGGAAAGGAAGGAAAGAAAATACCTTCTATTTGTCTTGGTTTAGGTCACTGCATTAATCCCTTAGTCATCCTTGCCACCCACCAAATTTGGACACATTCTTCCTAGACAGTAAACAAGCAAACTGATCTGATTTGTGATGTGAAATAAATATTGTTTGTTTTATGAGCTGATAATGGGGTATTTAACACTTTGGCAGTGTTGACAAGTGATAGCAAATGAAAAGATATTTCACTTGGTTTTCCTCTCTGCCCTAGGTGACATTAAAAAAAAACAGTCTTGTTTCCTGTTTTACCTGAGTTCTGTATATAACACTCTCAGTAAAGAGCAGTGGAAATGGTTCTTCATGAAAGCAAACATTCGGACAAATTGTCGTTTGTATTGAACATACAGGATTCTCTTTTTTTTTCTTTTTTTTAAAGTTTCCAAGAGAAACCATAGTGCTTGGACTCCACGGAAGACTGTTACTGTCTAGTTTTTTGTTTATTTCACCATGTGTGTGACTGTCCCACATTGCAGCCCATCCTGTTGCCATGGCTGCTGACTTGTCAGGGATGCTCTGAGAGTTTGCTAGAAAGTAAACACACACTCTTCAACTTCCTTAACAGAAGAATCACTGTGAGTCCAGCATCATGATGATATTCACTGGTGGTGTTGGTTGTGATGTGATTTATCAAGTGAGGTTTAACATCTTAAGTTTGTCTTATTTATTTATTTGTTTGTGTGTGTGTTTATTTATGGCTTGTTGTGTCTTCATTGCTGCGCGTGGGCTTTCCCTAGTTGCGGCGAGCGGGGGCTACTCTGTTGCGGTGCGTGGGCTTCTCATTGCATTGGCTTCTCTTGTTGTGGAGCACGGGCTCTGGGTGCATGGGCTTCAGTACTTGTGGCACACGGGCTCAGTAGTTGTGGCTCGTGGCCTCTAGAGCACAGACTTAGTAGTTGTGGCCCACGGGCTAAGTTGCTCAGCAGCATGTGGGATCTTCCCAGACCAGGGCTCCAACCCATGTCCCCTGCATTGGCAGGTGGATTCTTACCTCTGTGCCACCAGGGAAGCCCCTTAGGTTTGTCTTTATTTTTAGTTAGGTCTTCAGAAAAACTGGTTAAACTTGTTACAATATTAATCTGAATACATGCTCTGTAAACTTGCTTTTTGGTCATCACATAACATTTGTGGCAATAAGATAAGTAGAGAGGTGATAGTAGAGTCCACAGCAGTTAACACTGGCCTGCAGCACATAAAGAAATAAAGAGGTCATACTCCCTAGGAGCATGATGCTGGTGCCACGTGTATGGATGTTGAAAGGCTGTGACGTCCTCGGCCTCCTAACGAAGGAAACAGCATCTGTGTTTCTTCTGCAGAAGCTCAGTGAGGTAGTACTGAGACCTCTGCTTGTCACATGGAATCTGAGCTGTGGTCCTTGCCACCAGGCAGCCCCGCAGGTGCCCCACCATCCCCGTCCCTGTGCCTTCACACACCCTCACCCAGGCAGCCCTCACCTGGTTACCTCTCCTGGGAAACCTTCCCTGTCTCCAGACGGGCCTCCCTCGGGGTGTCATTATAACACCCTTTTCCTTTGCAGTAAACCTGTCCTCTCAGCCTTCTTGTCTCAGACTGGATTCCCAGTCCCCTGCCCCTTGCCTGGCATGTCATAGGTGTTGAGGAAAAACAGCAAAATAAACCAGATGGACCTAGATATGGGTTTTAAGGTCTATCCCAAATCAACTAGCCTTGCACATCTATTTTGTATAGGTATGTTTTTAATTTGGTTTAACCTTAATAGCCTCAAACAGGACTTTGAATTTGGCAGAACAGAGTTCTAATGTTAGTGTGTCTATCTGTAAACTGTAAGGTTCTAAATACACACAGAAATGTTGTGCTATGTTCTTAACTTAGCAGTTAAAATAATATTACTTGATCGGGCTTCCCTGGTGGCGCAGTGGTTGAGAGTCTGCCTGCCGATGCAGGGGAAACGGGTTCGTGCCCTGGTCTGGGAGGATCCCACATGCCGCGAAGCAGCTGGGCCCGTGAGCCATGGCCGCTGAGCCTGCGCGTCCAGAGCCCGTGCTCCGCGATGGGAGGGGCCGCGGCGGTGAGAGGCCCGTGTACCGCAGAAAGAAAAGAATATTACTTGATCATATTTTTCAGATTAACTTGAAAGAAAAGGCTGGGCACGTATGACATCTTTCATCCATCCTGCTGTATCAGGACCTTTGCATTTGAGCCCAGTGGCACCCGATGCTGTGCCCCACCCCTGCCCTCTTGCTTTCTTGAGCCTCTTCTTGCTGTCACTCTGTGTCTGGCTTGCCTCTGTCTCTCCATGTCTCCTAATTGTTATTTCTAAGTTACCATACGTGTAGTCTATCGGCTTAAAATATTACTATTGTAAATTTGTCTTCTTGGTGGATTGTCCCTTTTAATCATTGTGTGATGTCCCTCTCTGTCCCTGATAATTTTCTTTGCTCTAAAGCCTACTTCATCTGATAGTAATTTCAACCATATTTATGTTAATGTTACATGATGGTTTTTTCCCCCAGCCTTTTACTTTCATCCTACCTGTATCTTTATATTTGAAGTGAATTTCTTGTAGACAGCATAAAGATGGACCATATTTTTTAATCCACTCTGCTAATCTGTCTTTTAATTGCTTTGTTTAGACCATATACACTGAATGTAATTATTGATATATTAAGACTTAAGTCTCCCTTTTTATTTCTCGTTTTCTCTGTTTTTCATTTCTCTGGGTTTTTCTTTTTCTCCTGGCATTATGTGCGTTGCTTGAACATTTTTTAGAATTTCATTTTAATTTATTTATAATGTTTTTGTGTTGTTATAGCTATGTTATTGGTTGCTCTAGGCATTACATTTTATATGCGTAACTTATCAGTTTATGGGGTCAACATTTTGCCAGTTTGTGTGAAGTGTAGGAACCTTGCCTCTTACGTCCCTTTACTGTCCTCATTTATATGACTGTCTTAAATATTTCCTCTGCATACATTTAGAACCATATCAGACAGTGTTATAATTCTTGTTTCAACTCCAAATATAATTTCAAAAACTCAACAGGAGTAGGAAAGCCTATTTTATTTACCTGTATCTTTTTCCATTTTTATTTCTTCCTCACACCTCTTGAGGTTCTGTTCATTGGTTTTTTTTGGTCTGTTTTTTCTTTGTTGTTTATATTTGGTAATTTATATTATTTTATCTTCACGTTCACTGATCCTTTTCTCTGCTCCCTTCATTCTGCTGTTGAACCCATCCAGTGAGTTTTATTTTCATTATTTTATTTCCTAGTTATAAAATTTCCGTTTACGAAAATCTGTATCTTTGCCAAGACTTCCTGTTTCTTTGCTGAGACTTTATATTCTTTCATTTGTCTCATTGTGCACTTGTAACTGTCACTGAAGCACGTTTGTAATGGCTGCTTTTGAATCTTTGTCAGGTAATTCTAACATCTGCGTCATCTTAACATTGTCATCTAGTCACTGTGTTTTTTCATTCAAGTGAGATTTTTTTCCTGGTTCTTAGTGTAACAGGTGGTTTTAGATGGTAACCTGTACATGTTAGGTATTATGATACGAGATCCTGGATCTTATTTAAACCAGTTTTAGGTGGCTTTGTCTGGCACTGCTCTGAGAAGAGACGTTGGGAGGGTGGGGGTCTTCTTACTACCAGGTGGAGGGAGGCGTCAGGATTCCCTTCGTTACCGCTTCCCACGAGGCTGCCACTCACCGCAGTGCAGGAGGGTGGGAGGGCTGGGTAGTGGTGAAAGTACTGACTCTGCTGGGCCACTGGACTCTGCTCCAAGGGGCGGGGAGTGAGGCTCGGTTACGGGAGTGATGGGGGTGTGAGGGTGAGCGCCTCGTCTCACACCAGCCCAACCGGCCTGCACAGAGTCTTCATCACAGCCTGTCGAGGGGCATGTCCGGCCCCCACTTGCGCTTTGCCTGCTGTGTGTGTGGCAGTAGGTCACAGGTTTTCTGTGATATTTGCCAAGAGTAGAGCAGTGATTTCCTAGGACTTTTCTGTCTCGCTGGGCAGCCCCTCCCCTGTCCTTCCTTTCGAGGGTGCTTTTGTCAGCACCCATTGCTGTTTCTAGGCTGCAGAGAGGAAGCTCAGGAACTTGCCGCTCTGTCTGTCCTTGGGTCCCAGCTGGACGGCCTCCTCCTGTCCCCTTTCAGCTTCTTCTGCTCTTTCGTTTCTGTGCAGCACCAGGCATTTCCTTGTGTCTAACGGGAGAAATAGAGGAAAGTGTGTCTACTCCGTCTTCCCGTTAACCTTCCTGTTAAGCAGCGCTGCCTGTGTGAGGAATGAGCATTAGCTAGTCTGAGAGGAACCAGTAGCACATCGTCCTGCTTCCACTTGCATGTGGGCCATTTCAGTGACTGTGGTCCGTTTGGTAGTGAAGGTGGAGCTCCTTTGGTGTCTGGTGTCATGTTTTCTGAAAGATGAGAGCTGTGAAGTGTCCGAAGGTCTTTCTTGTAACATTCACTTCAGTGTTGGGCAGCTGTGTGCCCCCCCCCCCCCCCC